TTTACTTCCCAGTGCAGAATCATATCTACACAACTGAAGTCGGCCTACCACGCACATTTCGAAATAAAACTGGGAAATTAATATAAGAAGTGTGCGCCGCCTATTGTTTGTGTGTCGTGCAAACTTCATCTGACTCATTGGCTCAAGAGCAAAGTCAAGATGGCCTTTGCAATCTCCATAGTGTGGAGGGAGCCGAGGAATCACACGACAGACCGCTACTTCTATCTAACCAGTGTCATTTGATTCTCCAACTGAAATAAGGACAAAATCCACTACTTCGGTTTCCATCAAATATTCGACCTGTTCCTCATGATTGCACCCTAGCCATTCCAATACCTACAGTGAACATGTCATTGATCATCAACTCCCCCTGATTCTGACATTTGTGAAAACTTTGAATTTGATGTTGTCAAGCCACATCGTATTGAACAATCAGAGCTGAATTAGTTGGTACGTGACCTGGACTTACCTGAAGACAAAGCCGACTTGCTGGCATCTCGGCTGCAGCAGTGGCACGTACTTGCTGTTGTATATAGAAAGCGAATTGTTAACTTGTCCGGTTTCTTTTCCGACGTGGAATGACTGATGAAGGAGCTTGGGGTGAGGCATGTCAGTGATGAATGGTGTTTGTTCGTTGACTCGTCGAAGAGTAGCCTTAAGGCCATACTGTTGCACAATGGAAATGTGTACCCAACTGTGCCTCAGTTGCATGCCACCAATATGAAGGAGAATTACGAAAGTATGCAACAGATACTCGCCGCACTGAACTAAGATAAGTAGTGTTGCAACATCTGTGCTGACTTCAGTCATTGGATTCCTAATGTGTATGCAAGGAGGCTTCACAAAATATTGCTGTTTATTGCGCTTATGGGACAGTAGAGTAACTGAGCAGCACTACACAACCACAAGGTGGCCAGAGAGGACGGAGTATGCTGTAGGGCAAATGAGTGTAAAGCATACACCACCTCGGCACATCAAGCTTGATTTGTTTAAAAATTTTGTCAAAGCCGTCAAGCGATATGGTTTTGCGCTCCAGTACCTAAAACAAGTGTTTCTGAAGACCAGTGATGCGAAGCTCAAAGAAGCGATACTTATTGGGCCTGATATGCGCCGGATAATGGCAGACAGTGCTTTCGAAAGCCAGCTGACTTCATTTGAGTTAGATGCCTGGCGATCACTCAGGGAAGTGTATACAAGATTTTTGGGCAGAACAAAGGCAGAGAAATACAAAGAGACCCCAAAAAGATTATTGCGGACTATCGGGTTGTTGCTGCTCGAATCTCACTCAAGATGCATATTTTGCATAATCTCGTTGATATTTTTCCTGAGAACTTGGGATCTGTTAGCGATGAGCATGGTGAACGCTTTCAGCAATACATTTCAGTGGCAACTACACGCCTTCTATGATGGGCGACTTTGCTGGTTTCTACAGCGTGTGGGCGCTGGATCATGAAAGCGACGATCTCGGCGAAGTCATAATTTCCCAGTGCCAAGCTGCAGGCAGTAGTTAGCGGCGAGTGTTGCAGTGATGTTGTAAACCTATTTGCCACATAGATGTATTCAGTATAGGTTGTGATTTAGTACATTTACATTTAATTCTTCAGACGTATCCTTGACATTACTGAAAATAATCATTTACTTATACCAATGTAACCTGACGTGCTAGGTAACATCGGAATGCATTTATACGATCAGTGGAGTGTATTCTGTAAGGTGAAGACAATGGCATTTCTGTTTTGTAAAATATTTTTTATTGCACAGTGTTGTTAGACGTTACTCAGTGGCAACAGTTGCATAGGTTGCGAGTATCACGTCATCACATATCACATCGCATATCACTGATGGGTGAGTGCCCAAGTCATACAAACCTTTTTGTTAGATGAATAGATTAGAGAAATAAGGATTCGTCCCGCATAAGAGAAGCATGAATACGAAGATGCTTTCAAAGGCTATTCTGGAAGTATATTAGGAATGCTTGCAATGCGCCTGATGGGTCCTTTAAGGCACTTCATCATCGTTGGTGAGATTAACTGCGCCAATGTAACTGCAGTTATATATTAGTTAGCTGCTTGCTAGTTAACTTTCAATAATTCGGATAAACTTAATTGCGTGCTACTGTAACCTAGGCCTCCTCAGAAGCAATACCACGAGGAAACACACGGTTTTTTGCTGCATAACAGCAGACTATACTGAGTAACTGCTGTACATCTTTTGCGCTTTTATTAACGCAGTGCTACCTAGAGCAAATGAAGAGGATCGATTTAAGTTATCCAAGCCGGCTACACACTTGCATGTAATAGGGACGATGACATTGAACCTGCCGGTGGATCAAGACAGCTGTGTAGATTATTTTCCTCATGTTCAAGTGTACATCGAATAGCCTGGAAACGTGTATCTCCTAGGTGTATTCCATTAAATCGGTTAGCCTGGCTAATGAAAAGGTTATGACCAGTATGGTAAACAATTTGCAAACAGTACACTTCATTTGCATCTGATAATAATCCGTCGTAAAGATCGCTGCCGGTTATCTAAATAGATGTACACAGGAAAGTAAAATGGACACGAGAGTATTCGCAGTTTAGATGCGTCTTTGAGTTTCTCACTGCTTTACTCCATTCGACGGAACTCAAAGATGCGTAACACAACGGACAATCTTGATCTGTACTTCTCCTGGCCACACGCTGAAGAACGTCCATGGTGAAACCGATCGTATATCATGAATGACTCATCGCTGAGTACAAGGGAAATTGAATTACCTTCTAGACAACGGTTACTTAAGTTCATAGCGAGTACAGTCTGTTACCCAGACGCCTAATAACATTTGCGCAAATAAAATGTACTGTCTTGGAGTGTGGTAATTTTGTGAGGTGGAAGGTGCGCCCGAAGGATAAATAATGTCTGTAACACGCTTAGTGGCTATGGACACTATACTGCTCCTCAGACAATAACCAGCAGTCTGTCTGCTGACAAGATTAAAACATTTGTCAATCATCAGCATGTCGAGTGAGTAGGGAGCAAGATACACGGAGAAATTGCATATAAAAATGTCGAGCATTTTATCAGGGGGTAACTAGGGATATCTGTTTAGCTGATGGCAGCTCAAATACAGCTCACATACAAAAGGCGTATGCATATGTAGTCGCAAATAAATAGTCACTTCTAATGCATTTTTGCTAGCCATTGAATAGCGACGTAATGGAGGCGTAACCAGTGAAAAGCTGCGGAAAACTTCAACACTTCTCATACTAATGTAGCCTATGTAACCGGGTTCATACATGCTCCTAGTGCTTATTGTTGGGGACGGTAGGTAACTTTGAACCGAAGTGCGATTAGCTATTTGGGTAAGAAGTTACAAGGAACATAACCCCGATTTTTTCGGTAGCCGGATACACGTTAAGTGATAAAGAAAAAAGGAGTGCGTAACAATTTCCGTAGGCTGACCGGAGTGAAGAGTTCAAACAATGACAAATTTACTGGAAAATGACTTCTCTCCGCCAAGCTGCGAAGAAAGCATGAGTAAATTGTTTGGTTCGCGTTGTTTCGTCTTCCGAATGAAACATACTGCGTTTTATAATTTAAATAATATAGTGTCGTGAAGGTGGGCGTTGAAAAGCATTAATGTAATGGCAAAACAACTTGGGGTGGAAGTTCGAGACAACCGAAAGGAGAAAACAACATTTAGGCAATCAGGTCCACTATATCGTGTGGTCATGTGTGCTAATCGTCTCTCAATTTAGTACTGTCTGAAGTGCAACAGATCGCGCACGCGTGGTTGGAGATAGTCATGAATGGGTACAAGCTGGTAAAATCTCCCAGCCTACGATATTCACGGCTGTACAAGCCAACTGCTTGCAGTATGATTTGGCAAGGGAGGTGAAATAAACACCTAACAATTCTGATCATCCTATGTTGTGGAGCTTCAAGCGCATCAACATGATGTTAGCACCAAGGGGGCCAGGTTTGTATAGCACATTCAAATGTGGCCTCACGTAGACATTTAACAATTACAGAAAGCTAGAAGTTTCACTTTTCCGAATGCTTTCTGTATAAAGCCAAAGTGCTTAGTGACGCCTTCTCGGTCTGTTTGGAACAACCAAGTTCATCTTACACAAGTACTAAGAGATCGTGATTGGAAGATCAATGTTCACTTTAATGGGAATCGCAATCAACATTGAGCTTGCGTGTCGTAGTCCATCCATACAACGTGTAATTCAAAATAACCCACAATACTCCGAGATTGCTTTCGGGGAAAGCACGCTGAAACTTCTGGTCCTCAAGTAGATATTCCCAGATAGCGGATGGCGTTCGTCAAATCTCTGCAGTTCACCATGTTAAACCGGAGCCTGCTCTCAGATGACCCCGTATACGATCTGTTGAGATCCTTTTACAGTACGTTTTGATCGTTTACCGTCTTGAAGTTAGCCCGATCTTGGTGTGGTCTGAAAATTCGACTGGAATACACTTGCACGATTGATGATGAAGGCTACTAAGAAACGTGGTTTCAGCACCGATTCATGGGGTACACCACACTACTTCAACTGGGTTGAAAGTTGGGCTGCAGACTCTCACATTCAGCTAACGTTGAGTGAGCAAGTCACTTATCTAACCCAGAACAATGTCATCAATTCCGTAGCTTCGGGGTAGTTGGTATCAACTAAGATGAATTCTCAACAAAATAAAACATCAAGCGGGTTCTCTGCGTGCGATGATATATCAAAGGTCATGATTGCGCTGTGCAAATCCAGACGAAACACCTCAGTCAACTAGAGACTAAAACATATAGGATCGGAAACTCATCAAGAGATTAAGTAATGTTTCACAAATAGCGAAGGATTTATAGCTGCGGAATCCAACTCATTCACTTCAGATAATGGAATTTCAAATCCATTCTAATATAGCCCATACCGCGGACCAGAGAATTGCTGTGGAAAATATTAACCGTACTTCCCTCTGTTGAAAAAGAACCCCAATATTCAGACACACAAAGGAAAAGCTTACCGCGCAGAAATAACTGTATGTTTATCAATCAACTATCGGTTTTACTCATATTTATTTAAATAATGAGGCGCAAGAGTTCAGCGAGATATAAGAAATGAGAGGAATACCAGAAAAGTTCAAATGTCAAACTTGAATATAGTCACTGTCAAAATAACAGAGGCCAATTTTACAAATATCCCTGCACCTTGGGTGGTGCAACTGATGTAGTGGTACGATAGGATTGGAATGCTTTGCTTAAATATTCCACTTGTTCAATGACCAGATCGATGTTGCTCAACAGTGATTGATCCGCTGTACATGAAGGCCACTCAATTTGTTTTCCAACGCTGGGTATTGTCACCGAACATGGGACCACGACACATCCTAATTCAGCTAGCAACGAACGGAGCTGTGTAGAAGCCACGATACCTCCGGTTGCACCTGGAACAAAATAAGCAGTCATGTGATGAAGGGCTAAAGTATGGTACGATCAATTAGTTTTCCTACTGACAAGGCGGTAAGTTATACATGGGGTTGAGCGAGAGTTAATGATTTAGCGTTAATTTTATCCAAAGGACGGAGACACTGCAGGAGAAAATTCTGCAGAATGTAGATTAAAGTCAAAGTTGTGATTCAGTGAAACGCATCATGAATGTCAGTGAGTGGTGTCTAGTTTTACTCGACGCCAACCTCATTTGAAGTGCCAAAACGCTTCCCTAAGTCTTAGAAAATGAATTTTACGGACGACTGAAACCATTGTAAGCATGCGAACACAACATGAGCCATGCAAACAGACGGTGCTTGTTCAAGCGCTTTTATTGCCCTGGGGTTAACAGCTTTCACTCCACATGCTCACAGCGACTGGGTGATTGGTGGGTCACCTAAGCAGTCGAAAAGCACGTGCTCTATCTCTTGGGTATTTGTGTGCTTACGTGTGTTGTGGTAGGTTTTGTTTGAGTAGGCCGACAAATTTATCGCATTCTGTCACGTTCTGATTCCATCAAACTGCCACGCTTCCGTAGTCCATCGAAAAGAGTGCTCTTCACAACCAGTTGTTCCAGTAATCTCATTTTAGCAAAGCAAGAAATAACTAATAAATCGTCAGCTGTATGCCATAACGGTGCTTCGCTGCCGTGACCACCACCAGTCGCGAGTGGCCTGAGCATACCGCGAGGACGCCCACCTCTACGCGCATTCGAACCGATGACCTTATGATTGCAAACCAGGCGTGCATACCACACGGCCACCGGTACACTCTAAGAGTCAGTTGATAAGCTCACCATTTTGGTGTGTTATTATTACATTGATTCTAAACAGTACTACAAGTGGATATTGGCATGGGATGGCAAAAGACAGATATTTTTTGAGGAAATAAATCAGACTGCTTTTGAGCGGAGAGGAAGTACCCGAACATGTGTTTTGACGACGCCACAGTTGGAATACCACAATTTGTACCCACTTTGGGTACGTCACCAAGGTTTGATATCTCTACAGTATCACGCAATCATAAATATTGTGTAGACCCCCTCCTAGCAACTTTTAGCAGCTATCTAAACTCAGCAGTAATGTGATGGCAACGTATATATGAAATCGTCACATACACTCGTATCGAGCTAAACCGGAGTTAAAATATTTCTCATGAAAAAGCGAGCAACCGATGACGTGTGTCTCATCTATAAAAGGAAAACACGAAGCCCTCTTCATGTTGAGTCAGTTGCCAAGCTAGAGATCATCTCGTCTTGTAAGGCCATATGTTCCGCATCTGTTATCTATTCAGAAACGCCGTGCTACGGGAACACATCTACAGACATACATACAATTGCCTACTCCCTGAACCTTTCGGCCTTTATGCACCTGCATGGTCATTCTTTATTTGTGCATACAACACAGGCGTCGCGATCAAAGAACCTACACCACGGAATTACAGCTTCATCCATCTACAGCTTAGTGGTATGATCAGACTGTGCGTCCTATTAAAAGCGTGTGGATCAAGTGAAAGGTGTCGTTCATACACTATCTGGACTTAATCCTTGCTGCTTCTAACTACGCAGAATGCCAGAAATAGAAATCTGTCAGGCATTCCTTTTGTACCGAGAGGCAGCATGAATTCTCAATACTATTTGATGAATACATTGGATGTAGTAAATAAATAATGCAGCCTGCGCACTTATGTTTTCATATCTCGCATCAAATTTAGTCGACTTACTTAGGAACGATCGCAATAGCCTGAAAGTTTTGCTAATCACCTTACTGACAGTGTGCGCGTCTGTAAAAATAAGAATATTTCAAAGAACAAAATCGAGCGGGTCATGCTAGTGTAACAGCTGATAGGTGGAATAACGAACTTCTGGACTCTGGAATGCCTACTCTCTGAAGACACTGCTAAATTGACTTGAGGTAGGGCTATTGAAATCGCCGGTCTCAAAATGGGTGCTACCGAGCAGCCGCGGCGCTGCTCTGTCCAAACAAGCATATATGAAGTTGCCTGGATCTATCACTGGCCAACGAAATTCCAACCCATACAGAAGTGTCTCGGTTGCTGAAAACTACAACATAAAGTGTTCTACCAAGTGTTCTGTCTTAGGACTGGATTGCCAAAAGTGTCGCAAGCGGGGCACTATGGTACTTGGGTGTTGCCCCTCCCCAAACACTTCACACCCAATATCCATGTGCTTCAGCTACGGCCATAGTAAACGAATTGACTAAAAGCCACTACAATGTGAAACACGGTCCCCATTGAGATTGTGTGTCGCAAACCAATCGGCGGGCATTAAGTTTGTTGTAATCGTTCAGTATAAGTTTACTAATTGCTTACTACTGATCTTGTAGATCCGTGCATAAAGTTAAACGAAAACGCAATTTCTAGCTAAAACAAACCAAACAAAACCCGTTCTCTCCACCATTTTCCTTGTGTCAATCCTAAACTCTCCATACCTGACATCCGAAATATCGCAGTGTACGCGGCAGAACAACAAGATAGTCCGAATTAACTCCATGACAGTCAACTATATGACATACCTCTGGATACTTCAAGCTACGAGTTTGATGGTTATACAAACACCACTGTAGAAATACGAGGATTTGTGGCGGTTGTTTAGCAAATTGGCGACAAAAACCATCAGTTGCTGTCCACGTCACTGGCTGTAATAACCGTCCTTTACTCGGAAGAATTGTCGTTGCAGTTGTTGTCACGACGTCTTTATCTCAAATGCGTATCATAACGGTAGATCCATCAACTCGACAAGTTTAGACCCTTAAGCTGTTTGAAAAGACAACAGGGCGCACTCCTCTGTTCACAGAATCTTTCTGAAACAGCATGCTAAGCCGATAGCTGTTACAGCCACGTCCTATTCTGCTCACGCCAGAAGAGAGGTCGTCTCGTCTACCTTACAGCAAATGATCGCGGATGAGCTCATTGAACTGGTCAGCTCTTCCGAATGAGTCCAACTTATTGGTAGTCCTCACATCGTGGCCGGGAAAATTGTGCTTCCAACGACCCACAGAAATCTCGTCAAGTTGGAGCACAATTTTTTCCCAATTTACCTAAGGAAGACCTTCCACGTGTCTGTAGTTTGCAGTCAAGACCACCAAGAGCATTTCCTATGATGTACGGACGGTTTCAGTATAAAGCCTTACCAGTGGGTTTGAACTAGGCCCCCACTATTTAGCAAAAGTTTATGGTACACTGATTTGCGACTTTATTCGGCCAAATATCCTGTATGGTTGACTTTTCTACATTACGCTAAACAATAGTGGAATGTAATTCACGACTAAATGCAGGCTTATGCCAGTGAAACGATATTAACCTTCGTTTAAATTTCGAGGAGCGTAAATTACAGGCTAGTGACATCGGGTCTCCGGGCCACAATAATACAGCCGACCACAGCAAGCTGAGTTTAAAAAAGACGTGGTAAAACAACCAGGATCCTAATCCACATAACTCTACTGAGGCAAAACATTTTCTGGGTGTGTTCATACAATCTACTTCACCACCAGAATTGCTGAGCTGTTAGAGGAACTGATACAGAAATAAAATATGCGCTTAGAGCAACCGCAACAAACAGCGGTTCACAAAATAAAATCCTACATAACTATACTAGAATAACCAATTGTCAGCTTTACGCAGTAGCGGCGCTTCGCTGCCGCGCGACCACCATCAGTCGCGCACGGGCTGAGTAAACTGCCAGGACGCCCACTCCTACGCGGATGCGAATCGGTGACCTTAAGGTTGTAAACCAGGCGTGCAGTCCACTTGGCCAGCAGCCGACCACACTAGTCATAATGATTTTAGATAAAACGTGACCCACGATTTTCTATACTGACGCCTTAGACACTGGGTTCGGCACCACATTATCCTGAATCCCGAATGGGCATGAAAGAGTTATTGCGTACGTCTCCAGCAGAGCGTTCTTACTCAGCCAGGAAAAAGGATGCTCTTACAAGCATTCGAGCCACCTGTTAGGTAGGCCCTTCACTCTTCTTGTTGACCACACAGCTCTAACTGGTATACCTGCTTTGGATACAAATTCAACCAAACTGCTGCGAATAAATCGTCGATACACGCAGTTACTAACATACAATTTCCAAATCAAAATTCGAAACACGTCTGGTGCTTTTCTGGACTAGGCTGTGCCATGTAGCTTATGAACCACTGGGAAGAATACCTTAAAATTCAAATTCCTTCCAGAATGTGAAAATCAGACAGCAGATGCACTTCATCAACTGATATGGTTGAAGCGAAAAATAATGGGGATGACAACGAGAGGTTACTGGTTTCCTCCCCAAACATGGAAGATATTTCGGCTTAGGATAAGGCGAAAGTGCAGAAGACGTTCCAAAAGTATGCCGCTCTCTTCATACTAACAGTTTCACGTCACCATCATTCAATGATACTTCTTTAAAGCGCATATATATATATATATATATATATATATATATATACATACATATATATATATATATATCGCCGATGAGTAGGAGGAGATTAATTTTAATGTTTTCGTCCCAGTACCTCACAAGCTACATAGCACAGCCTAGCCCGAAAAAGTAACAGGCGCGTTCCTCCCTATCGGTGCTCGTCAGTGATGCGCATTCCCTCCGTCCCCTACTAGGGATCAAACCCATGACGGCTAGCGGCAGACGCCAACTAGCCAGTACCGTACGACACTGAGCCATGGGGGACGTCGGCTAGTCTACATCATTTGCAAGCTAACGGATATAGCACGATCTATCTTCCACTGCCAAGCAGGTTACTAACTTAGCAGGTGACAGTGGCTAGCCTCCGAATGTTTGCTATGTACCTTGTGAGCTACCGGCACGAAAACATTAAATTAAAACCCTCCTACTCATAAGTAATATAAAAAGTAGCCTCTCCTTGTTTCAAATGCTATGGACGTAGCGTCCAGTGAGAGGAAGTCCTGACCTTCGGAGGAAAGCCAATG